CGTTAGAACATTGACTTTGTTTTTACCGGGTGGGCAATTGGGGCGGGGGGGGAGGGGTACTCTCATGTTTTGCATGCTTCAGCTGTTAGACTGTTGACCGTATGCGTCCTCGAGAGGACGGAGAATCGTTCCGACAGGACCGATCACCGATGGTTAATCGCTTTTTCTTATTTTTCAGATTTTGCCAAAGGTGGCTGGAAACATTTTCCGTAACCTATTTCATCCTATGGATATCACTTTCCGCCTATTCAGTCAACTTCTTACACCACAGTATAGTTACCCTACCGACCGTTCATTTTTGTCCTGGGTTATTCCGTGCCTCAAGCATTTTTTGGTACCTTCCTTGCATGGGGGGGGGGGGGGGTAATGGACCAGCACACAACAACATTGTACATGTATGTATGCCATTCAAGCCTTTCGGCTGTGTTACCCGACGTCTGCCATGGCGTGACTTGAGGGAGTCGTTCGTGCGAGCCAACAAACAAGGATTCATTTTTCATGGGAGAGCCGTGTACACTGACACTCACATACCCTGATGAAGGATGTGTACACGGAGTAAAGTTGCAGTTGTTTTAGCGTCGCGGGTCCGAAGGTTTTCCGCCCCCCGCCGGAAGCTGCGGCGTCGGATATTCGTCTACCACGTAGTCGCGTGAAAAAATAACAGAACTCCGAGGGCTAAGAAGGGGGCGCGGGGTGTGTAGGCCTTGCAATAATAGTCAGTCTACAGACGCTACACGGTAGTTTTTTCTTTTTTCTCCTCAGGATGCGATTCGAGACCACGCGAAACCATCCCCCCACCTCAGACGAGGGCTTGACTGACGTAAACCGGAGATTTGTTGGCTGGACAACGAAGAGCTCCGTCGCAAGCGACGCAAATTTCATCTTCTGGCGTTGAAAACGTATTGCTGGTACCAAGTACGGAGTAGGACCGGGGGTGTCACCGGCGGACGCATAAGAAGGCAGGCGTCCCATTGGGCAAAGCGAAGAACCCGGCCTCGGGAGTTGGTTGCAAAACATCGCACCCACAAAAAAATACATCAAAACGAAGACAGTGTCGCTTGGACTTGTGGTTCGCCATCATTTGGGTCGAATGGCATGCGATCACTTGTTGATATGATTAGCTGCGTGGCGGAGCTTTGCGTCGAGGTCGCGCACACTGCGCATGAGCAATTAGACGTACTGAAGTACAATAATGCCCATTAGGTCCCCGCAAAACATAAATCAATTGCCGCGGCACCTGTGTCAAGTTTAATTTTTTCATTCCTTCCTGCATCATCCACCAAAATCGACCCGTCACCCAAAGAAAGAACACAACAAAAATTCTTCCATCAACTCCCACACAACCTTTTTGCTCACATAGACTAGAGCAGCAGGTGCTTCATTCAGCCTACGGAGCACCCTGCACCCTGTGCCTTCCTTCAAACATTAATCTCATCCCAATTCCACCCCACCCTTTTTTTATCGGTGCCCCCGCCTACCCTCCCGCGACCGAGTTCAACTCTTCCCGAAAGAACGGTACACCCCGTTCTCACCGACGACTTGTAAATACTCCGAAATACATACGGAAACCCAGTTCAGCCTAATGAACACTCTCTCCCTCGCTGCACACAATGGGGTACAAACAGGCCCACTCCGTCTCGCTCTCCAGCAACAGAGGCGTCAAAATCGCGCTATAGACTAGTCTATGTGTATCCGTACTAACTGAACCCCATGACCCCAGTACACGTCGCCTTCTCGGCCAGATGTACTCGTGATACCCTTTCCTCCCCCCCTCGACCTTCTCTTGCTGTACTTCCACAAGCGCAGACATTTCCTACACGTGCCTGGCAGCGCTTACATCATGACCGCGCCTGGTGGCTTGGTCTGGAACAAACGACCGAAGGACACTACGGTTGCACGATCTCGCCCGTTGCTAGGAGAACGGTCTGGGGCCATCCTCGTGCTAGCCAACCCGCCCTCTCTCGCGGATCTTCCGGCAAAACCCCAAGCTCTCGTGACCAAACTCAAGCACTTGAGTTTGCAAACACACAAAACACACACACACACCGCGCGGTACGCACACGCCACGGTCCGTGCTGTTGACCATCGCCTCTTACAAAACTCCGAAATTAGTTTCGGTCTAAGAAGTGCTTGCTGACGCACAGCTCTCGACGATTTTGGTC